ATTTACTTGAGAGCTTATAAACTCAAGTGACATTTACTAGTGACCAGTCAAATCTGCCCTCTCTATAAAGCACCACACAAGGGGTCGTGCCACCCTAAGGGCACAAGGGGTCACTGCCCCTAAGAAAGTTTAGGGTCTAGTTGGAGAGAGAAAAAGAAAAACTAAATTCCTGGATTTCATACTTAATTTTCTAAAAAGCTGGAGAGACACTATTGCTGCTTTTGAAGACAAGTGAGACTTTTTAAATGACCACTAAAAGGGCATTTTAACCTGTGCTTGACACCCATGGAAGTCACAGTGAGACATCATTAATTGTATCCTATTAAAATCCTGAACTAGCCTCATTGATGTAAATATCTTCCCTGTTTCTAATTCAGTGTTTATCCGTCTGCTGTCATGCGGCCCTGCTGAGCAAGAGCAGCCCGAACGTGGGCAGTGCTTTGCAGCTGGAGCAGTGACTCATCTAAGGCCTTCAGCTAATTGTATTGAGAACCATAGCTTGGAGTATTTTGGAGTTGATTTGCTTTTTTAAAAGCACACTTATTAAGTTAAAGAGAGTAAAATTTCCTAGCTTAGTCCCAGTCCTTTAAGACAGTCAGACACTCCCAGCATTGACTGAATTTATCCATCAGCAAGCTAACTTACTAGATAAATTGAACACCATCAAAACCAAAGGTGTCTCTTGATGTAGTAAGTCATAATGTATTAATGTAAAATATTTATAAGGAGAATCAAATACTACATGTAGACATGAGAGCATAGTTACCCTTATTGCTGAGTGTCAGTTTTGTATGTCTCTAGATTTCTAAGCATTCATCCTTGGCTCCTTTAGGGCACATTCCCTGTATATTCCTCAGTCACTTCCCTCCCCAGCCTGTGCCCCCATTTTGAGTCAGGAACTCACTTGTGCTGTATGTTAATTTATAAGTGTTTCTCTTGTCAAGTCTGGTAGGATTGTTATTGCTCCCTGGTGGCATTTCATTCTAAGCACAATGAAATCTCTTGGACTTATTATATCACTTGAGTTAGAATGAAAACTTTACATGAGCAGAAGGTGAAGCGATGATGGTTACAGAGGGAAAGTCTTTGCAGGAAACTCTCATTCAAATAAAGCAAAACAAGCTTGTTTTCTTTAAGGCATCAGTTTTCTAAAAATAAATTAATCATTGATAGCAGGAGTTAAATTATTTTTGGTGTGTTGGAAAGTACTTAGTATTCTGAGTGATGTCAGATATTGAAAAGACTACTCAATAGCAAGATTTTACAAATAAAATTCAATGGCAAAATACTGAATTTACTCTGCATGAGCTCAGGAAATCATTGCCCTGTCCATCACTTCATCAAAAAAAAAAAGAATATAAGGAATGCTGTGGGGCAGGGGAACTCCAGCCCCTTAAAAGAGTCCTCCCTGCAATTACCTTACCTGCCAGCTTTCCAGCAAGATAAATGGAAGCACTGTAGCTTGAAGGTGCCTTGGTTAGAATGAGATGCGGTAAGGTCTCTCTGTTCTTTACAGGCATCATAGATCTGATAGTACTTATAAAAGAAGAATGGAGTTGGTGCCCTGCTGACTGAATGGCCCTCTAGAGGAGTATTAGTTACAGAGCTTCTTTGTTAACTAGGCTGAATGTTTAAGCCACTGTTGAACTTCTTTTATTAACATGTGTTAAGATAGCTATACATATGGATACCCTAAGTATCTGCAGGGCGGGAATATTTCCCTGTAATTTACATATAAAAGTTACGTGTGTGTATAACAGTAACATAGAAATTATATCTTTTTATTGCTCTTCTGTTACACTGAGGTCTAGTCAGCACTGAAATTCTGATGACATGACTAAGAAAGCCACCGTTTTTATATTTTTCTCTTGGTGTTTCCTTGATAGGCTTGTTGAACAGAAGAAATGTTTGTCACGCTCTTGCAGCTTGAATGAGGCTTTCTTAACACCCATCCGTGTCACTTTTCTAACCATAACGTGGAATTTTAAGACAGGACAGGGAAGGAGTTTATAGGTCATGCAGAGAATTTTAAAAATTTCAAAGTAACAATTCTTTTTAAAAATTGAATCCACATTAAGGCTTTTCTACCTTTAATTTCATATGTAGTATAATAAAAGATAATAATTTTTATCTAGTTATCTACCAGTTTTTTTTTTCCCTCCAAGAAAATATGAAAAGTATATTACCTCCCAGGTGATTCTTGTCTGATGGCAATGTTCGTTTATCAGTGATACACATGCGTCAGGTATGAGAGAGTGGTCCATGCATGGAGCCCACCACCCATCTTTTACACAGGGGCTTCCTGGGTTATTCTGACCTTCAAAGAGAGTATAATTCTGTCTGGCTCCCATTTGGTATTTTCCAGGTGGAGGTAGGTGTGGAGTGAGTCTCTATTGCTGGTGAAGCTCATACTTTCCGGATGTATGGGGGATCACCATGCAGTTTAGCCAAGCCCAGGTTCTCCTGTCCCCCAAGGAGGAAGCAGAGGCAATCGAGGCTGTGCTGGAATGCCATGGCCTCTAAATCAGAGGCTGGCAAGCTGTTCTCTAGGGGTCAATCGTAAACAGTTTAGGCCTTTTGGGATACAGGACCTCTCTCGGGGTCTCCACTGTAGCCTGAAAGTAGCCCTAGACAGGACTTACAGGAATGGCAGTGACTGTGTTCCAGGAAAACGTTGGCGCTAAAATTTGAATTTCATGTATTTTTCATGTATCACAACATACGAATCTAGATTTTTTTATTCTGTCCTTTAAAAGTGTTTGGCTGTGGTGGATGAAAACCAGGTAGGGTCCAGTTTTAGCCATCAGGGCTTACAGTGCCCTGCTCTGAAGAGCCCAGCAGGTGTGTCCTTGGCATTTTTATGAACTGGTTACACTCTGTTAGGAAGGGAGTGGACCCTAACCACTCTTGCACCCCCCGCACACCCCTCCGAGCCCAAGGCTGCGCAGGGAGGAATCAGCAGTCAGCCTGGACTGGGAGAGGCGCATGGAGTCCCATCCCGCTTTCTCCGTCAGCGCGTCACTGCTCATGCATGTGTATGCATCTGTCAGTTAAGTTTTGTTGAGAGGAACTCAGATAATTGCCTTGAGTGCTGAAGTGGGAGTACTTTCTACCTTGTACGTAGCATGTTACTTGCTTAATGACTTCCTCTCTCTGCCTGGCTTCACAGAAGATGTGTTAGTTCCAAGTCTGGATCAAACTATTGTGGAACCCAGTAATCAAGCTAAACACAACTATTTTTCCAGCTAAATATGTGCAGAATCGTGCATCTCATGTACCCTGAGTAGGAATGTTTATTTTTTTCTCTGAATTCAGAAAATAAAATTCAGTTTGCCCCATTTTATTTTGGAGGTTTGATACTTTTTCTGGGGGCAGGGGTATTTTCAGTCTCTCTTGTTACTATTACGTTTGTTATTCAAAAGCACAGTTACTGACATTGAAGATGACTTGCTATTTTACTTAGGTGTTATTCTTCTTAGCATAATAAATTTTTGTTTTTCTGTAACAATTCATCTGTGAAGTTTTCATCAGCTATTCTGTAGGATGTGTTTTTTAATCATTGACAACTTCGCTGTTAAAAAGATAAGTTCATCAGATGATATGACGGATGATGAGCAGAAACTTCCCAAGAGACCAGGATCCTAATGCTGAGTTCGTTGTGTGGAGTTTTGGGGCACCCTGAAGAGCTGTACCCAGTTCCGGCTTACTTGGCCCCTTTTGTACTTCCTGGTCTAGATTCAGTTTTCAAATCCTAAGTATCTTTCTCCACCAGTTTTCAAAGCCCTAGTTTTAGATACCCCAGTAGTAAGCAATGGGGAACAATTAAACATGAATAAAATTGAATGATGAAGCATATCAATAGAATCGAGTATGCTTGTAGACAGTAGCCTAATCTGGTATTTCTGATCCCATTCTGTACTATTTAATCCTACATTATTGAGACAAATATCTTTTATACTGCAGCTCAGCCATTAGAACTTACTCAGCACCTAGTTCTGGGCCCAACTGGACTTGCAGACTTCAGTGCTGGGGGTCCAGTCCCTGCAGCAGGCCTGTACCGAATTACTGAGTACCTGCTGGAGGGGGCCCCACCATGGGCCCTGGGCACCACAGCAGTGAGGAAGGCCGGACCAGTCTTTGCCCTCCTCCCATTCTGATGGGGGTGCAGAAGACACTGTCCCCTTTCCTCTTCTCTCAGCTTCCTGCCCTCATCTTAATCAAATGCATTCTGTCCTCAGTAGTGTCACCTTCAACAATAACTGACTTTCTGAGCTTCGTTTCTCTATCTTTCAAGTGGAGGTTTTAATAACTGCCTCAAAGGATGATGTTAGGATCAAATTAGATGACATAAAAAATTGTTTAGCATAAAGTTGTTATAAAAAGTAAGGTAGAAAGTTAGGACTCATTTCTGCCAACTTAACTTCAAAGGGATTTATTTTTACAACATAACATAAAAATACACATATCACTACTTTATTGTAATAACAGTTTTGCAATTAAAATTAAAAATTTCTTACCACAAGGTTTAGTTACGATTTTCACTGCTACGACATTAGAATATCACAGTCTGGAATTCCCACAGCCCTGTAGTGTCAGCTTCTCAATAGAAGGGTCCAAAGCGTGTGGTTCTGTCTAGTAAAGTGGTCATTCAAGAATCAGGCATCCCATTTGGATGGCAAGTTACTTACTACCCGAGGTGCTGTTTCCTGTGGCTCTGAACAGTTCATTGGACTAGGCGCTGACAGCTTAAAGGCGAGCTGCAAGACGTTTTCATGGAAAGAGAGGTAGAATTTTACTCACTCTTTAGGGATAGACTAGATGTTATGAGTACAACTTAAGAGAGGCCTCACTAAGTCTTCTAATATCAAGTGGCCGTGCTCTGAATTTTGTGTTATCCAGAAAAACTTTGTCTCTGAAGGGGGCCTTGTTAAGATACTTGATCAGGTCCTGATCCAGATATGTGTTACTGTCCACACACATACTGTTTGTTTCTTTTGCAGGACCTGTCTGGCTCCATCGATGACCTCCCCACGGGAACAGAAGCGGCGTTGAGCTCAGCGGTCAGTGCATCCGGGTCCACAAGCAGCCAAGGGGATCAGAGCAACCCGGCTCAGTCCCCTTTCTCTCCACACGCATCCCCCCACCTCTCCAGCATCCCTGGGGGCCCTTCGCCTTCTCCTGTGGGCTCTCCTGTAGGGAGCAACCAGTCACGGTCTGGCCCAATCTCTCCTGCAAGTATTCCAGGTACTCATCTCTTAATAATTACATTTTACTCTGTAATAAAAACAGACCTAGTGTCGATCAATAGCAACATGCATTCGTTTCTCTTTTACTATTTGAAAACCTAATGGTGGGACCATGTACTGGTTTCATAATTTTGTGAATTATCACCAAAGTACATGGAAGTCCCAATTCCTAAAGATACTCAACTGATGAACATAAACACCTGATTGATGAAATCACCAGTTACTTTGATATTTCCACTTTGCACATTTACCTTAACTTATGCTGGAAAATTATTTATTCTCTTAACATGTTTGGTAATGATTCTGTTAAATAAGATTCTCTGTTGGTAAGTGCCACTAAGGTGAGATTGTTTACTGGAATTGGCCTTAGTTTTTATAGTTCTATTTAATTTGTACCATGGCCATTATTTTCTAAAATATTTTAGTGTTTATACTTATCAGTGTCTTAATTTGCCAGCACAATTTAAGGCCCTGTTAATGATATAAACTCTTACCTTCTAATTTTCTTACAAGTAGTTTATGTTCCAATTAATTCTTGCACTTAATTCAGCTATTTTAGTGGTAATACTACTTCTGTATCTTTTCTGTCTTTTATTGTGTACTTGGGGTTGTTTATTCGTGTGTCAGTTGCCTCCTCCTCATCCAGCTTTCTCATATCAAACCCACCAAAAGCAACTAGCTTTATCAGAAAACTAGATGCAATTTTTTTTTCTCTGTAACTTTTGCTAACATGATAGAGTTGGCTGCCAGAAAGCACTTTTTACTAATCTATCAGAATTGATATTGAATTGTTGATTAATTTTCTGATAGTTTATTGTTATCTTGAAAGCACGAATGGTAGTACCTCTTTTTACCATTTTACTCCTTTTATATTAAAAAAATGCTCATTGTGGAATGTTTTATATACATATGAGATAAACATATATGTAAGCATATGTAACTTGCTAATTGTGAAACATAACTATCAAATGAATACTCATCAGCCTACCATCCAGTTTAAGAATCGGAATATTACCAGTGTTATTGTGTCTACCTACGGGTTACTTCCCCATCTCCAGCCTTACTCCTCTCCCCTTCCTCACATTCTCTGGAAATAATTTTTAATCTTTGTTTTTGTATTGGAGGATTTTAAAAAGTAATTTTACTACAAACATTCATAGCGCGCGCGCGCGTGTGTGTGTGTGTGTGTGTGTGTGTGTGATCAGTATTATTTAGTTTTAAGTTTTATAGAAATGTATAATATTTGGAATGACTATATATAATTTATCAACCAAGGTGAGACAGTTTGGAGCATGTGAGGATTGCTGTTAATAATTACAGTAGGACAACAGCATAAACCAGAAAGATTCTGGGAAAATCAGTAACTATGGTCACCCCAATCATACTTACGTGGGCTTCTACAGTTTGCCTTTTTGGCTCAACGTTACGTCATTGAGATTCATCCATGTTTTGAATATAACTATGATTTTAACACATTTTAAAGGCATTTTGATGCTAGCTCTCTTTCAAAATATTTGTTTTACCTCACAGTGATTATAGTAAAACCCGGATTTACAAAGCTATGAACGTGTGCATACCTCACATTGTGCTCCTCTTTATTGTGCTGAGCAGATACTGCATTTTTTACAAAGTGAAGGTGTGTTTGGTAACTCGTCATCCAGCAAATCTTTTAGCACCATTTTCTGACTGCATCTGCTCATGTCATGTCTCTCTGTCACAGTTTGGTAGTTCTTGTAATATTTCAAATAATTTCATTACTACCATTACAGTGATCTGTGATCAGTGATTACAATTTTCTGAAAGCTCAGGTGATGGTTAGCATTTTTAGCAATAAAGTATTTTTAAATTAAGGTATATACATTGGTTTTTTTTAGATATAATGCTGTTGCACATTAATAGGCCACAATGGACTGTAAATATAACTTTTATGTGCACTGGGAAGCCAAAAAATTCATTTGACTCACTTGATTGTGGTATTCTTTTTTTTGCAGTAGTCTGTAATCCGCATTATCTCTGAGGAGTTTCAGTTCTGTACATTCCAGAGTTCCTTAGGCAGTTTTTAGTATTGAGATGGTTTTTGAAGCATCCTCTACCTAAACATTGGAAAATTATACATAAAATATTGTATTTGTCAAAGAACTCACTCCTTTCTGAGTTGGATCAAAAGGACTTTTTTCAGTAACCTAAAGGAAGACTTTTCTGAGGTATAAAGATATTGTAGTTTTTCATTTAAAATCCCTGACATGGGTGGTTCACAGTCTGATGATTTTCATATATATGTTTATCATTCCAGATGGGGATTTCGAAACTTCTTTTTCACTATTCCAATTTTGATATAGAATAGCACACATAAGCTACCAAAATTGCTTGCTCTGAACACATAGTAACACATATTGCAGAAGGGATAGCCCATTAGATGGAATTAGTGGTAGTTATGTTCTGTGTAGGGTAAAGCTGGTCAGTGGGTTACACTTCTGAAGACCCAATAAGCCCTCTTTCAAATGAGGCTGTTTTCACAGGAACTGCAGGCGAGTCCTGAATGTGGTCCTCTTTCTAACTTCTTGGGAAAGTGAGTTCTTAATACAAAGTTCTCAACTCTCCTAGGAAATATTATTAAAGCATATAGTTTCTTGTTTAAACTTGTGTCAGAAATGCTAACTGCCCAGGGCCTACATTTTCATTTCCCCATACTGTTCTAAGTCAGCACCTCTATATCTACGTGGTACTTGATAAAACGATTCAGTAAAGTTTAGTATAAGGAATAAATTACAGAGCAAAAATTCCACTTTTTGGGGGGGAGGCACTGCTATTGAATAAATCCATTGACTATCTTTGCTGAATGTGAGGCTACAGCATAATAGAATTATATAAACTGTGGTAAACAAGCCATTTCTTTAATGTTAGTGTTTTTCTAAGAGGAATAACTTCTTAGAAAATTTGATAAGTAGTTTTGGCATTTGTTCACCTTTCTTTAAAAAGGGATTACAAGTAACAGTTGAATGCATGGACTTTCATCTGATCCCATCTCCTTTTGTAGCCTTGGACAAGCCCCTGAGCCTCTCTGTGCCTCAGTTTTTGCATTTCTAAAGACAATGACCACATTGATAGAGTTACTGTAAATATTAAATGTGTCAATGCACATAAAGCACCCAGTGCATGTTAATTATTGTTGTGATTACAGTTGTCGTTGTTATTCAGTCTGAGGCCTGGAGACTTGTCCACGGGAGGTACTGTCCCGAACAGCACAGTCGGTCTTGGCAGCAAGTCTTACCCTAATTAGGTGGTGCTCTTGAACACTTCAGAGGACAGTATATGCAGTCTCCAGTGATGGTGTGTTATGTTCACTGAGGGTATTCAGTAGGAACACTACAGCTAGCCATAAGAGCATAATGTGTTTTCACAAAGTTGAATCCATTTTTCTTCTAACTTGAGCAAAAAATGGTCAGTGGCTGCTCTACTTGGGAACTGGGTCTGAGAAGGTTAGGAGGAGACCAGAAGACAATGGGAAGACAAGAGTCTAAACCCTTGCTTCAGTTAGTCATTGACAGATTGATTTCTGTGTGATAAGACAGCAGGAGTTAAGGATAAAAACTAGTGAAAGATGTGATTCAGAATCCTGAGTTATTCCTCACACTTCCTGCATGTATTGAGATAGCATCAACTGTGATCAGTACCAGCCTTTCAGTGGCCCTGACCAGGGCTGCCACGTGCAGTTGAGCAGATTGCACAGTGGACAAGGGCAGGGGCCAGAGGGCTGAATGGGAGTGGAATTCAGACTGCTTTCCTGGGGACGGTTTTCTAATTCATACAAAGGAACCCCAGAGCTATCAGCACCCTTGGCCTGGACGTCTTGGCGGTCACCCTCCCTAGTTTGAGTCTAGATGCTACCTGTTTCTCCACTCTGTTCCCACAGCTAAACCCAGGGACATTCAAACATACATTTTTGCTAGATGATCAATCAAAAATTTTATATGGTGTTATTTTAAGGGGATGTTTAAAAATCATGCAGGTTTTTGTTGAAAAATTTTTGATCTCTTTCCTTCCAACCTAGCCTGTGTGCCCTGTTCCTTTTTTTTTTTAATGTGTTTGTGTGACTTGATCATAGGTAATAAAACCACATTTTAAAGATGATCATAAAGTTGATATTTTTGTTTTGTTTTTTTACCTAACTAAATGCAAAAATACCTTCCCTTAGAGAATAATTGGACCCATTTAGTAATCTCACATTCCCCTTTTCCCATCTCCAGTCCTTATGTTTAAATTTTGTCACATTAGATCCTAAGATAATTTACAGTCTACCTGCATTGACTCTTGAGTCCATGCCGGTGAGACGACACTGTCGCTGGAGCTCGCACGGTTTCCCTCCCAGGGCATGGTGCCCACCACTGCTGCTTGGGAACCTGCTTGGAATTTCCCTTTATTTTTCTGTCCGTAGCCTTTTGCTTTCTGTTCTCCCTGCTCCCTTCCTCTCGTTCCCAGCACTCACTTGTTTTCTCTGACCTCACTTCTCCCCCACTACCTCCCGCTGTATCTTGCCTCTGCCTCTGCGCGTGTCACAGATGGACTCTTTCCGTCACTGTCTCTCCAGCAAGTCGTTGTTAAACACGCAGCTGCTGTGGAGCTGATAGCCAGGGTGAGGTAGAGCCAGGGTGTTGTGGGGATTCTTCCTAGTGTGGCTTTCCCAGGAAAGAGCAACAATGGAAAAATACCATTTTTTTTCCATCTCTGCCTTCGTAGGTGACATTGACAGCTAATGAGAAGTATTACAGAGGGAGATGAGCAAAAACCCAGTACACCATCCCGAATGGCTGTCTGTTTCTTGCCTGCTAAAGCGTTTCTCCACCCTCTGCGAATTTGCCTCCTGTCATGCTGCCTCACAAACCCTGTGAGTGTCCTGGGAGCAAATCCTGCAATACCCCGGCACAGCATAGGCCCGGCACATCCCTAACTCGGCGGGGCTTTTCCTTCCTGCGTACCTTTGAAAAGCAGGGTGGAGAT